AGAAGTTGGGTCTCAGGTTAAGCATTTCCCTTTCATATTTAGTTAACTCAAAGTTGGAAATATTAATAAATTTATCAATATATATATATATATATTGAACAATAAAAAAAAATATTAAAAAATTAAAATCTTCAGACACACTGGGTTGTAGATTAATATTCTTTCGTTTTTTATTATTATTATTTCATTTAGATTCCTCGACTAGTTTCGGCCGAAATGGCCATCATCGGAAGAAGAAATATTTCTGCGTGCTGGTAGCAGTAAACTACAGAAATGAATGTCTTGCTGGAGAAAATGAACTTTTGTCTGTAGTTTTCATTTGTTTTTTTATCTTTTTAAAATGAATCTTTTAACATTCCTTGTGTTGGTCAAACAGTCTCTTTTAAGTTGTTATTTGAGATAAGAGCTGGATGGATCTATGCTTCTCTGAATTCCCGTGGTCATTTTGACAGTTTTATTGGTCCTGGAGAGGCGATGTATCTCTGTTTAGTGTTTGTGTGTGTGTTATTTGGTTCTTAGGGAGTGAGTGAGTAAGCGTGTGTATTGCTGTGGGTGTGTGTTATCATTTGGCTCATTAGGGAGTGAGTGAGTATGATGTGTGTAAGTGTGTATATATTCGTGTGGGTGTGTGTATAAGTGTGAGGCCTCAACACCTCCGTATATATATATATATAGCATTGTATTAACAGGTGTAATATTGGAGGAATCGAGCCTTTTTTCATACAGTCTCAGTTACGGTGGACTGGTCATGTCTTGAGAATGTCTGATGACAGGATATCCAAGATCCTAATGTACAGCCGGTTAGATCAGGGCTACAGGAATGTAGGACGCCCATGGCTAAGATACAAAGACAAGCTGAAGAGCAACTTATTAGCAGTCAATATGCAGTGCTGTTCGATAAAAGTGACTCACCTGATTTTTTTTACTAAATGTTCTCTTCTCCGATGAAACGAAAGTTGAGCTAAATTCAAAGGATAAGCGATCTAAAACCCGAAGAAGAAGCTTTGAAAGCTATTTTTGAATTTAGCAGGTACTGTCAAGCATCTGTTCAGTATAATGTTCTGGGATGCTTTTCTTTTCATGGAACTGGTTTCTTAAAACCTATTGAAAAGACCCTCAGGAGCGAGCAGCACAAGAGAATTTTAGAGTCTTGTCTGCTCCCTTTAGCTGAAAGGGTGCAAATCGACCCCACCAAGCTCATTTTTATGCAGGATAATGCTCCCTGTCACAAATCAAAATTGATGAAGGAATACTTTGATGAGAAGCAGGTGAGTGTTATGACATGGCCGCCCCAATCTCCTGACCTCAACTCCATAGAAAACTTATGGAACATTATAAAATACAGGCTCTCGAGAAAGCAGTTGAGCAACATGCTCCATAATCCTTACACTTGTTACATATGCGGCCTTTTTAAATCACTAGCGGTCTTGAGTGCCACTTAAGATTATTGCCCGAAATTTCATAACTGAATCAATTAAGTTTTCAGATCCTCATACGTCGAAACCGACAGAAGAGTTCGATTATATATATATATATATATATATATATATATATATATATATATGTGTGTGTGTGTGTGTGTGTGTGTAAATATAAAATATATATATATATATATATATATATATATATATATATATATAAAGGCAGGATGTGTGTGTAACGAATGCACGGCTGCAATTTTCGACGGATTTGCACCAAAATTTACATGCACATGCTCCAAGTTAGCGGGAAGGCCAAGACCGACTTTGCAGTTCCCAAAACCCCATCGATAGTGGAAATAATCGATTTTTTCATGCTTCTACGGCAGTTTTCATGTAGTTTGCGGCCATTTTTTACTGGCCAGAGTGAGAGCCTATAGCTGGCTGCCACGAATAGGCAGGAAGATTCTATCGGCCAGCGTGAGAGCCAACAGCTGACTGACACGAATGTTAAGTAGCATGCTAGAATGCAAAAAAAAAAATCGATAGCGGCATTCGTCACAAGTGGGAAAAATTTAAATCTGCATGGCACTTTACTCCAATTGGCTCATTCGCTTGCTTAAACTCAACGTTGATTCTGATTCCGCAGAACTGGGTTGGCTGTGAAAAGTATTTGTTGTTAACAGTCTTTTTTCATTCGGTTTTTCCAGTTACGAGTCCTTTTTTAAAGCTGATCGTTTTGTGTTCGTTTTGTTTAGTTCTTTTTTCGTAACAGATTTAATGTTTAGCATAGAGCTTAGAAAAATTCGCAGTGTGAGATAGGCAAGAAGGCATGTAGCAACATCAGCACGGCAAAGGGCACTCCTTTAAAGGCAAGGAAGGGCAAAAATATTTTAAGTCAAGTGATAGCGATTGCTGTATGAGTCGTACGATTTTTGAATCAAGCACGGGCAACGGGCCATGCTGCTAGTATATATTATTAGAAAGCGCTCAATATCAGAGATAGAGCTAACATATTTGGTTGGATTGATGTGAGTTTGTAACCCTAGCTACTAATATTATCATTACCACCAATCCCCCAACACCATTACTAACTCATCACATCTACTTTTACTTTTACTACCTAAATTTATCTTTGGATATATATATATATATATATATATATATATATATATATATATATATATATATATATATATGTGTGTGTGTGTGTGTATATTGACCACTTATATTATTATCTATCTATCTATCTCTCTCTCTCTCTCTCTATATATATATATATATATATATATATATATATATGTGGAAAGAAAGAGATTTTTAAAACGTTATTTTTTAGTGAATACTGTATTTGAGTCGACGCTCCATTAATTTATTAAACAGTATGTTTAATTTATTTTCGCTTACCGGCCTGAAGGTAACTTGTTGATGTTATCGTCCTACGGGAGGCGATTCCAGCGGACAGCCCCTTTTGAAAGTGCCTGAAAAACCATACCACGTGTTGATCCAAGCACTATGAATGAAATTGGATAGATAGAACACTTGGGAGCCGTCGATGGTTATGTTAGCACGAAATCAGATGTCATCGTGACCGAGGGTTTAGCGTGCAATCTTTGTTCGCACTGTTGATCACGCTATATAACGCGCGCTCTCTCAGAAACTGTAGTATAGGTTCAGTATAGTATCAGTGAGATTTGTATGAACTGACTTAGACATACAACGGCCGAAACGTCGTGAATATGACAATAAAGGCAAGGACAACAGTCCAAACGACGTAAGTAGTGTAAATAATTAAAATAACTCATCTAATAAATATCGACAGATCCTGTAGAAGGCCGGAGCGTACAATGACCGAAACGTCGTGAATATGGCAAGAAAGTTGAGGTCAAAATCAGAACAATGTAAATAGTATAATTAGTTGCATTACGTCATTTCAGTAACATAGACAGATCCTGAAGAAGACCGGGGCGTACAACGGCCGAAACGTAGTAAATATTGCAAAAAAGATGAAGAAAACAGTACGAATAATGTAAATACGGGAAATAATTACAATACCTAATCTCAGAAATATAGAGAGATTCTGAAGAAGGACAGAGCGTACAACCACCGAAACGTCGTGAATATGGCAACAAAGATCAGGACAAAATCCGAACAAAGTAAATAGTGTAAATAGTTGCAATACCTCATCTCACTAATAAAAACAGATCCTGAAGGAGGCCGGAGCGTACAACGATTGAAACGTCATAAATATGACAAAAAAGATGAAGACAAAATTCCAAACAATATAAATAGTATTAATAGTTGCAATACCTCATCTAAAAAAAAAAATAGACAGATCCTGAAGAAAGCCTAAGCGTACAACGGCTGAAATGTCATGAATATGGCAATAAAGATGAAGCCAACAGTCCGAACAATGTAATTAGTGTAAATAATTACAATACCTCTTCTCAGAAATTGTTATGGCAACTTAACCATTCACGCATGCACTCTCCCAGTTATAAATAGGAGCAGGTACTGCCTTTTAGAGGATAGTAGTCAGCTCTGATAGTCGCACCGAATATATCTTGCTGTAACAGTCTTGTTTGTATTACAGTTTTTTTCGGTTAATATATTTGTTTAACTCAATTCCTTATTTGTGTCTTTACTCCTGGCCCTAACAACAGAAATATAGACCGACCTTGATAGCTACAATGCCTCATTTTAGTAATATAGAAAAATCCTGAAGGAAGGTCGGAGCGTACAACGGCCTAAATGCTGTGAATATGGCAATAAAGATGAGAACAGAAGCTCGAAAAATGTATGTATTACAAATAGTTTCCATACCTCATCTCATTAATATAGACAGATCCTGAAGTAGGCTGGAGCGTACAACGGCTGAAAAACCCTGAATATGGCCATAAAGATGAGAACAACAGTCCGAACAACGTGAGTAATTTAAATAAATACATTACCTCATCTCAGAAATGTAGACATATCCTGAAAAAGGCCGGAGAGTTCAACGACCGAAACGTTGTGATTTTGTCAACAAAGAAGAGAACAACACTCCGACTAACGTAAATAATGTATCCCCCCTCTCTCCCTCCCTCTCTCTCTCTATATATATATATATATATATATATATATATATGTTATGCTAATTTACCCATGTACGCATGGACTCTACTCTACTTGTTCGTTTGTATATGTTTTATATTATTGTTAATATATTTGTTTAACTCGATTCCTCTCTATGTGTCTTTATTTCTGGCCCTAACAAAGCCACAACAAGAATAATCCACAAAAATGTGCCGGAGCAGGCGTCTGCAACGGGGATTAGCTGCGCTATCTAACAAAAGGAATGAGGATGAGTCAACTCTACATGGCGTAACTGATACTAGCTGTGATGGTCTGGACTCGTCATGGCAATTAACGTTTAATAAAAAAAGGAAATCGTGGAGAGTCAAGATCGCATATGTTCTGAAAGAGTATGGCATGAAAATAATTATTTGAAAAAATATGAATGAATGGTTAAAAACAAAATCAGTATTTCATTTTTTTTTTTTTTTCCAGAATATTTCAGGAGCAACACGTAAGCGTGTTGATATGCCATTTGCTTGTTCGCTTTCACGTCAGTAGGGGGCGCTTAATTATTTCCTTCAGCGCCACAGAATCGTCATAAAAAAAACTGACTTTGACCTTTACAGAATTCATTCGGGAATTTTCTAAATTCTCTTTCATATTTTCTTCTTCTTCTTTTTTTATTTACTTCCAAACGCCATTTTTATTTCGTTTCTTCTTCCGCCTGTCATTCTTTCTTTCCTACTACATTTTATTAATTCTCTTTTTTTTATTCTTCTTTTGTTCATTCATTTTCTCTTATTTTATCCTCCTTTTTATACACATCATTTTTTTCATTCCGACTTTTTTATTTTTTATTTTTATTCCACCTTTTATGTTCGGGCCCTTTTTTTTCATTCCATCTTTTTGATTCGTTGTTGTTGTTTTTTTTCATTTTGCCTTATTTATTCGGCTTTTCTCATGTCGTCTTTTTCATTTGGCTTTTATCATTCTATCTTTTTTATTCGGCTTTTCTCATTCTAAATTTTTTATTCGGGTTTTTTTTCATTCACCCTTTTTATTCGTTTTTTTTTTCATTCTACCTTTTTCATTCGGCTTCTTTTTTTTTTTCATTTCGCCTTTTTTTCATTCCACGTTTTGTATTCGTCTTATTTTTCATTCCACCTTTTTCTTGTTTTTTTTCTCCTTTTTTTATTCAGCTTTTTTTCATTCCACCTTTTGTATTCGGCTTTTCTTTTCATGTCACCTTTTTTCGGCTTTTTTTCATTCCACCTTTTTTATTCGGCTTTTTTTCATTCCACCCTTTTGATTCGTTTTTTTTTTTTTTTTTTTTTTGTTAGCATTCTACCTTTTTGATTCGTTTTTTTGTCATTCCACCTTTTTGTAAGGCGTCTTTCCATTCCACCATTTTTTATTCGGCTTTTTTTTCATTTCGCTTTTTTTATTCGGCTTTTTTTTCATGTTGCCTTTTTTCACTTGGCTTTTTCATTCCATCTTTTTTATTCGGCTTTTTTCATTCCAAATTTTTTACTCGGCTTTTTTTCATTCACCCTTTTTATTCGTTTTTTTTTTTTAATTCTACCTTTTTTATTCGACTTTTTTACATTCCACCTTTTTTATTCGACTTTTTTTTCATTCTACCTTTTCGTTCGGCTTTTTTTTTCTTCTATCTTTCTTATTCGGCTTTTTTTTTCATTCCATCTTTTTATTCATTTTTTTTCATTCTACCTTTTTTATTCGACTTTTTGTCACTCCACCTGTTTTTGTTCGTTTTTTTTCATTCTATCTTTTTTTAATCGGCTTTCTTTCACTCCACCTTTTTTAATCGGTCTTTTTTTCATTCTACCTTTTTTTTCGTTTTTTTTCCTTAACTCCATCTTTTTTTATTCGGCTTTTTTTTTTCATTCTAACGTTTTTATTCGGCTTTTTTTCCCTTCCACTTTTATTATTCGGCTTTTTTTTTTTTGCTTTTTTTTTTTTTTTTCATGTCGCCTTTTTTATTTGGCTTTTTTCAATTCCACCATTTTATTTTTTTTTTTTTTTCGTTCTGTCCTTTTTCACTCTGCATTTTTTATTCTATCGCTTTTTTCTTTTTCTTCTGTTTCTCTTTTTCCTTTCATTTTCTTTGTTTTTATAATTCATTCTTTTACGTTTAACTGTATTCTTTTATTTACGTTTTTTTTCCTATCATTTTCCCTCGTTCTTTGTTCTTTATTCTCTTTTATTTCCCTTTATCCTTTTTTTTCATTTTCTATTTTCCCATTTTCTTTTTTTAATATTTTCTTTATTATTATTTATCCTGTTTATTTCTTTTTGCATTTTAATTTCGTTCTCTTTCTTTTTTGTTCCGTTTCTTTTACCTTCTTTTTTATTTTCCCACTCTTTCTTTTTCCTGCTCTCTCTTTGTCATTCTTTTTCCTTCTCTCCCTTTTCCTTCTCATTCTTTTTCCTTCTCTCTTTTTTCCTCCTTTTTCTTTTTCCCCTCTTTCTTTTCCCCCTTTCTTTTTCCTGCTCTCTATTTTACATTCTTTTTCTTTTTTCATTCTCTTTCTTTTTTCTTCTTTCTCTTTTCCTCCTCTTTCTTTTTCCTTCTCTTTCTCTTTCCTTCACTCTCTTTTTCGTCCTATTTCTTTTTCTTTCTTTTTCATTCTCTTTCTTCTTCCTTCTTTCTTTTCCCCCCTCTTTCTTTTTCATTCTCTTTCTTTTTCCTTTTTGTCTCTTTTCCTTCTCTCTCTTTTTCATTCTCTTTCTTTTTGCTTCTCTATTTTTCCTTCTCTTTATCTTTCTTCCTCTTTTTCGTTCTTACTTTTTCATTCTTTCTTCTTTCTACATTTGTCGATTTTTTATTCATTTTCTTCTTTCTTTCTTTCTTTCTTTTTTCTTTCTTTCTTTCTTTTTTCTTTCATTCATTCTTTATTTTATCTTTCTTTTTCTTTTCTTTCTGTTGTCTTTCTTTCTATCTTTCTGTTTGTTTTTTATTTGTTTTTTTTTTTGCTCAATTTTCCTTACATTCATAAACTTCTTCATTTTCGAATCCTTACATTTTCTCGTTCAATCCATTATTTGAACATATGTTTTTCTTTGCTTCTTTCTGCCTTTCTTTCATTTTCTTTTTTTTTTCCTTATTTCTTTCTTTTTTATTTTTTCTTTGTATTCATACATCCTTCATTTACCAAATTATTGCGTTTACTTCGAGTTTTTCTTCTTAGTTTTTCTTCTTTTTTAATTCAATCTTTGCTTTGCCTTTTTCTCTTCCTTTCTTTTTTATCTTATATTCTTTCTTTATTTTTATCTTTCTTTTTTTTCTTTCTTTTTTGTATACCTTGTATTTATACACTTTTGAGTTTCCAATTTTTATTCTTCTTAATTTTTCTCATTTCTCTCTCAATCTTATCTTTGCCCTTTTTCCTTTTTCTTTCTTTCTCTTTTCTTTCATCGTCTATTTTTACTTTCGTTATTTTTTTCTTTCTTTTTCTTATTTCTTCCTGTATTCGTACATTACTTCATTTTCCTATTCCTCTTTTTCTTCTTCAATCTAATCTTTGCCCTTTTTCCCTTTCATTCTTTCTTTCTTTCTTTTTTACTTTTTATGTGATTTCCTCCTTTTCTTCTTCGATCTAATCTTTGTCATTTTCTTTCTGTCAGTTTTTCTTTCTGTCTTTCTTTCTTTCATTTTTTTTCTTTCATTCTTTTTTTCTGTCTTTCTTTTTTTCTGTCTTTCTTTTTTTCTGTCTTTCTTTTTTTCTGTCTTTCTTTCTTTCTGCATTACTTTCTTTGTTTTTTCTTTCTTATTTTTTCTTTGATTTCATCTTTTTCTTCTTCGATGTGTTCATTGTCCTTTTTCTTTCTTTCTTTCATTCTTTCTTTCATTCTTTCTTTCATTCATTCTTTCATTCATTCTTTCATTCATTCATTCTTTCATTCATTCATTCATTCTTTCATTCATTCATTCATTCATTCATTCTTTCATTCATTCATTCTTTCATTCTTTCATTCATTCATTCTTTCATTCTTTCTTTCATTCTTTCATTCATTCTTTCTTTCATTCTTTCATTCTTTCATTCATTCTTTCATTCTTTCATTCATTCTTTCTTTCATTCTTTCATTCTTTCTTTCATTCATTCTTTCATTCTTATTTTTCTTCGATTTTCTTTTTTTCGTATTCGATCTAATCTTGGTTCTTTTTCTTTCTTTCATTCCTTCTTTCATTCTTTTATCTGTATTTCTTTTTTTTTCTATTTCTTTCTTTGTATTTTCTTTCTTTCGTTCTTTTTTCTTACTTTTACATTGATTCCATACTTTTCTTCTTCAATCTATTTTTGTTCTTTTTTCTTCCTTTCATTCTTTCTTTCTGTCTTTCTTTCTTTCTTTCTTTCTTTTACATTTTATGTGATTTCCTCCTTTTCTTCTTCGATCTAATCTTTGTCCATTTCTTTCTTTCATTCTTTCATTCTTTCATTCATTCTTTCATTCATTCTTTCTTTCATTTCTTTCTGTCATTTTGTCTTTCTTTCTATTTTCTTTCTTTCTTACTTTTTCTTTGATTTCATCTTTTTCTTCTTCGATGTGTTCATTGTCCTTTGTTTTCTTTTCATTCATTCTTTTTTTCTATTTTCTTTTTTTTTTTTTTTTCTTTTGATTTCATCTTTTTCTTCTTCGATGTGTTCATTGTCCTTTGTCTTTCTTTCATTCATTCTTTCTTTCTATTTTCTTTCTTTCTTACTTTTTCTTTGATTTCATCTTTTTCTTCTTCGATGTGTTCATTGTCCTTTGTCTTTCTTTCATTCATTCTTTCTTTCTATTTTTTCTTTCTTTCTTTCTTTCTTGCTTATTTTTCTTTGATCTCCTCTTTTTCTTCTTCATTCTTTTCGTTGTATGTTCTTTATTTTATTGTCCTTTGTCTTTCTTTTTCATTCTTTTTATTCTTTTCTTTTTCTATTTTCTTTTCTTTCTTTTCTTTATTTCCTGTATTTTTCTTTGAACTCCCCTCCACATTTAATTTTTTTTCTTCCTTCACTGAAATGTGTCGTTCGCGCGCTCAACCCTTGGTCGACGCTCATTCTAAGGATCCAACCATCTTTTTCCATTCAATTCTTTCTTTAAAAACGAGGTGAGAATTTTAAAATATTTCTTTTCTTTAAGACTTTCTTTCTTAGAATATATTTTTTGAAACTTTGATCTTTGACAACTGAATTACTGTAATCTTCTTCATTATTTTTTTATTAATTTTGTTATTTAATTTATTTTTTTCCAATTGCTAAAAAATTCTCAATGACTTGTCAAGATATTTCTTTTCTGAATGATGGTCTTTTGATCAATTGAAATTTGAAAGAAATACTAGTCCTTCATCTAATAATAAAATTCAAGATAATATTTACTAAGCTTTTGAATGATGGTCTGAGAAGTTGTGATAAATGCAATTGAAATTAAGGAAAGGTTTTCAAAATTTAATCCCACTGCTTGATCTAATAATAAAATTTAATATTTCCTAATGGCTTTGAATGATGGTCTGAGTAGTTGTGATTTATTCAGATGCGAACTCCCCCTCAAAATTTAATAATGACAATGCTTGGCAACAATAAACGCAAGAAATAATACTTCTTTTGAATGATGGTCGATGAAAAGAAATTGAAAGATGAAAGAAAACCAAAAATTAATAATGGATGACAATGTTTCATCTAATAATAAATTATTTTCTTTTGAATGTTCGTAGTTGTGATAAATGCAATTGAAATTAAGATGGTCGACGCTCATTCAAAATTAAGGATCTGAACCTAATAATAAAATTCAAGATTTTTCTCCACTTTCAAAACTGAAATCAATTGAAATTTGACTAGTGAAAAAAAAATAAAGACACTGCACATTCAAGATAATATTAAAACGAGGTGAGAATGAAAGAAAAATGACAAAAATTAATAATTGACAATGCTTAAAATAAAATTTGGCTTTCGAATGATGGTCTGAATGATGAAGACGAAATTAAGATGAAAGAAATATTAGTGAAAATTATAATGGCTGAGAGGATAAATTCAAGAATAATGGCTTTGAATTTAGCAGTGATGAAAACAATTGAAATTAGTGAAAGAAAAACAAAAAATTAGTGACAATCTTTGATCAACTGAATTAAAATTCAAGTAATCTTCTAATGGCTTAGGAATGATGGTCTGAGACAGGTGGAAAAAGCAATTTAACTAGTCAAAAATTTAATTGACAAATTAATTAAAATTCAAGATAATATTATTTAATTTGATGTTTAAGTTTGATGAAAAGCAATTGAAATTTGAAATACTAAAAATTAATAATGACTGACAATGATCTAATAATAAAATTCAAGATAATATTACTCCTAATGGCTTTGGAATGATGGTCTGAGTAGTTGTGATGAAAAGCAATTGAAATTAAGATGAAAGAAATATGTTTAGTCAAAAATTAATAATGGCTGACACTGCTTGATCTAATAATAAATAAAATTCAAGATAATATTACGAATGACTAATGGCAATTGAAATGATGGTCTGACAAAAAATTAATAAGTTGTGATAAAATAAATTGAAATTAAGATGAAAGAAGAAATTGGTAAAATTAATAATGGCTGACACTGCTTGATCTAATAATAAAATTCAAGATAATATTACTCCTAATGGCTTTCGAATGATGGTCTGAGTAGTTGTGATGAAAAGCAATTGAAATTAAGATGAAAGAAATACTAGTCAAAAATTAATAATGGCTGACAATGCTTCATCTAATAATAAAATTCAAGATAATATTACTACTAATGGCTTTTCGAATGATGGTCTGAGTAGTTGTGATGAAAAGCAATTGAAATTAAGATGAAAGAAATACTAGTCAAAAATTAATAATGGCTGACAATGCTTCATCTAATAATAAAATTCAAGATAATATTACTACTAATGGCTTTCGAATGATGGTCTGAGTAGTTGTGATAAATGCAATTGAAATTAAGATGAAAGAAGTACTGGTCAAAAATTAATAATGGCTGACACTGCTTGATCTAATAATAAAATTCAAGATAATATTACTCCTAATGGCTTTCGAATGATGGTCTGAGTAGTTGTGATGAAAAGCAATTGAAATTAAGATGAAAGAAATACTAGTGAAAAATTAATAATGGCTGACACTGCTTGATCTAATAATAAAATTCAAGATAATATTACTACTAATGGCTTTCGAATGATGATCTGAGTAGTTGTGATAAATGCAATTGAAATTAAGATGAAAGAAATACTGGACAAAAATTAATAATGGCTGACAATGCTTGATCTAATAATAAAATTCAAGATAATATTACTCCTAATGGCTTTCGAATGATGGTCTGAGTAGTTGTGATGAAAAGCAATTGAAATTAAGATGAAAGAAATACTAGTGAAAAATTAATAATGGCTGACACTGCTTGATCTAATAATAAAATTCAAGATAATATTACTCCTAATGGCTTTTGAATGATGGTCTGAGTAGTTGTGATGAAAAGCAATTGAAATTAAGATGAAAGAAATACTAGTGAAAAATTAATAATGGCTGACAATGCTTGATCTAATAATAAAATTCAAGATAATATTACTCCTAATGGCTTTCGAATGATGGTCTGAGAAGTTGTGATGAAAAAAATTGAAATTAAGATGAAAAAGTCAAAAAATTAATAATGGCTGACAATGCTTGTCAAAAAATTAATAATGGATGTTCTGAGAGTTGTGATGAAAACTGAAATTTGAAAGAAATCTAGTGAAAAATTAAAATTCAATGTTTGATCTAATAATAAAATTCAAGATAATATTACTACTAATGGCTGTAGAATGATGGTCTGAGTAGTCGTGATGAAAAGCAATTGGAATAGAAATACTAGTGAAGAAGAAGACTAGAAAGACCAGGAAAGAGAAAGAAGTAGTAGAAGAGGAGGAAGAAGAAGAAAAGAAGAGAACGAAGAAGCAGAAGAAGAAGAAGAAGAACAAGAAAAAGACTAGAAAGACCAGGAAAGAGAAAGAAGTAGAAGAGGAGGAGGAAGAAGAA